TCTGTTCTTGCACTAATTTTCTTCCAAGCAGCAAAATATATTACATTCATAGAATCATAGAATCATAGAAGTGACCAGGTTGGAAAAGACCTCTGAGGACATCAAGTCCAACCCTTGATCCAAGACCACTGTGGTTACTAGACCATGGAACTACATGCCACATCCAGTCTCACCTTAAAAACTCCACGGACAGTGAATCCACCACCTCCCTGGGCAGCCCGTTCCAATGCCTGATTACCCCCTCTGTAAAAAGTTCTTCCTAATATTCAACCCAAACCTCCCCTGGCACAGCTTAAGACCTTCTACTGGTTGCCTGGGAGAAGAGACCAAGCCCCACCTGGCTACGACCTCCTTTCAGGAAGTTGTAGAGAGTGATGAGATCTCTCCTGAGCCTCCTCTTCTCCAGGCTAAAAAACCCCAGCTCCCTCAGCCTCTCCTCATAGGACTTGTGCTCCAGTCCCTTCACCAGTCTTGTTGCTCTTCTCTGGACCTGCTCCAGCACTTGAAGTGTGGCCTCACCAGCACTGAGTACAGGGGAAGAATCACCTCCCTGGTCCTGTTGGCCACGCTGTTCCTGATCCAGGCCAGGATGCCCGTGGCCTTCTTGGCCACCTGGGCACACTGCTGGCTCATGTTCAGCTTCCTGCCAATCCAAATTCCCTGGTCCCTTTCTACCTGGCTGCTCTCCAGCCACTTTCCCCAGCCTGTAGCACTGCATGGGGTTGTTGTGGCCAAAGTGCAGGACCCAGCACTTGGCCTTGTTGAACCTCATCCTGTTGGAATCAGACCAGCTCTCCAGTCTGTCCAGGTCCCTCTGAAGAGATCTCCTGCCTTCCAGCTGATCAACATGCCGCCCCAGTTTGGTGTCATCTGCAAATTTTCTAATGGTACACTCGATCCCCTCATCTAAATCATCTATAAAGATATTAAATAGGATTGGGCCCAACATTGATCCCTGGGGGATACCACTAGTGACCGGCCACCAATTGGACACAGCCCCGTTCACCACCACTCTCTGGGCCTGGCCATCAGCCAGTTCTTAAACCAGCACAGGGTGCCCCTGTCCAAGCCATGGGCTGCCAGCTTTTTCAGGGAATGCTGTGAAATACAGTGTCAAAGGCTTTGCTGAAGTCCACGTAGACTAAATCCACAGCCTTCCCCTCATCCACCAGGAGGGTCACCTGGTCATAAAAAGAGATCAAGTTGGTCAGATAGGACCTCTCCTTCCTAAACCGTTCTGGCTGGATCTGATCCCTCGTCTATCCAGTAGGTGCTGTGTGATCGCACTTAGGATTATCTGCTAGTTTCCTTTCCTGCAGGCTCTCACTTCATGGAAGTTTTTTCTTCTCAAACGTGCCTTATTAACAACCTGTAAAGAAGTGTCCTGGGAACTGGAACTCTCTCAATGTATGTTCTCTCAGTCCAACACTAACCAGGGCCCTGATAATATCACTTATTAAAGCACTCAATCCCCCGAGGTCTTACCAAAAGGCAGGTTTTGGAAGCTGCTTCTGCAAACAGGGACTGCTGAAGTGCTTTTCTAGTCTCAAATCTGCCTTGTGTCTCCAACAATCAGCACTTGTGTCTCTTTTCACTCAGCTCTTGTCCCTACTTATCAGTCAACAAAAAAAAATCTCTTTTATCTTGACAATATCCATAGAGTATTCACAGAGAAAAACCTATACAATAAAAAAAAAAAGCACTACTCTCACTGAAGTGCTGAAGATGAACACAGGGAAAGCTCAAACATACTCAACATGTCCTGAATCACCAGCTGTGGGTGGTCTTAAAATTTTCCCCCTTCTGATCTTTCTCTTCCCTGATAAAGGCATCCATCAACCAAAAACTCTTATTGCATTAGTGCAGATGTCCTATAACATGGGTATTCCTGAAGGCGTGTTAATAAAAGCCCTGTACATCCTGACAGTCTGCAATTTACCAAAGGTGTCTCAGGGAAGGGGCTCCACAAGCAAAAAATTCAGCCTCCAGCAATTTCAGCTGAGACAGTTGAAAATGCTGAAAACTGCTTCTTACTCACAGAGTGGCTGAAATCAGATTAACACCTCAGCATGAGTCACTGTTGGAAAGTCAAAACACAATACACCCATGAAACAGCTTAAAATGAGCAAATACAGCAATAAATAGTATAAATATTTTTTGTCTCCATAAAGAATCAAAAAGCAATATCTAATAATCCCTAGATTTGGTAATGGTGTGTTGGTGAAGCACTCTGATATCTCAGGAAAAGAGAAGTGCTTCAGGGATTAATCTCTCCCAAACTCTTGTTTTACAGAAAAGAAAACACCTAGAGGGACACTCTTAGACAGTTGTGAGGCTTTGTAAACTCATTATTCAGGTTCATCTCTATATAAATACCTATATTCTCTACCACTGAGTCATATTTCATTACTTCTAGTTAAAAATGCTGCAATTGTTTCTGCCTATGGATGACCCTCATAGCTACCCAGAAACTACTGCTTCTCTGACATGTGGATAAGCTGCCACTTTTAATAAAAAATAACAAAAAATATAACTCACTAGGGCTTTATGCACTCTGCTGTTTCCATGTGCAACATCATCTGACATCCTTCATAAGCCCTGCTCCTTCTCTTCACAGTTCAGTTATGATTCTTCATCCTTCCTTGAATTGTCTCAAAAATACGACAGTCAGGATAGTGCAGTTGATAATCACTAGGAAAAAGCTTCTCTAGTTAAGTCATTCTCTCAGCCTCTCTCTGTGTTATGCAAGTTACAGTGGAATATGTCCTTTTTGTGCCCAAAAAAAAAGGAATCATAGAATCATAGAATCATAGAATCATAGAATCATAGAATCGATTGGGTTGGAAAAGACCTCCGAGATCATCGAGTCCAACCCTTGGTCCAAATCCAGTCCATTTACTAGATCATGGCACTCAGTGCCACGTCCAATCTGCACTTAAAAATCTCCAGGGATGGTGAATGCACCACCTCTCTGGGCAACCCATTCCAATGCCTGATTACTCTCTCTGTAAAGAATTTTCTCCTGATATCCAACTTAAATTTCCCCTGGCGGAGCTTAAGCCCATGCCCCCTTGTCCTATTGCTGAGTGCCTGAGAGAAGAGACCAACCCCCACCTGGCTGGAACTTCCCTTCAGGTAGTTATAGACGGTGATGAGGTCACCTCTGAGCCTCCTCTTCTCCAGGCTAAACAACCCCAGCTCCCTCAGCCTCTCCCCATAGGACTTATGAAAGTGAACATTTCTATCTCCTTTGGACACAAAACTTTGCAAAGGTTTACCCGTGTATTAATGAAGTTGATACCCTGACTTTTTATAGGGAGTCCTTTTCATGCCCTATGAGCCCTCCCTGCCTCTCTCAGGGGAGGTTTTGTGATACTGTTCCATTATGGATGAGGAAACTAAGGCATGTGTTACTAAGAGCCACTCAGCGTGGTGGCAGAGAGAAGAGACAAGACGCTGGACCTTTGGTCAACAGGCAGGTCACATCTGCCTTTGAATGAAGACAAAGCAGGAATTTGCTGCAGCTTTATGGCTCAGTTTTTTACCAGTTTTATCTATTTTTTTGGGGAAGTAAAAAGACACAAGTTCAAATTCAAGATGTCACCACTTCTGCACCTATCTATCTGTTAACTGCAGTGAAGAGCTGGTACACAATTGTATCCACCAAAGAGATGTCACTGATGGAAATAAGGCTCTGAGTGTTTCAGCTGGCAAAAGGAGCAGGAAAGGAAATTGCTTTGTCAGACATCACAGATTAAGTAGTTCTGCTTCAGCAGCAGAAATAACTACTGAAAACTACTTCAAAACCCAAAGGCAATTAAAAGAAAAAAATTTTTTTTTTTACTTGTGGAATTGTTAGGCTCCTCTTGATCACTAGGAAATGGATCACATAAATTATTGTACAGGACTGAAAGCATTCAACTATTATACTTTCCTAAAAAAAAAAACACCTGTGTATTTCTGTTTCTTTCTATCTTTCAAATCCATTGTGTATTTACACATCACTTATTTACTCTGTTTCCTGACTTTGGAGGGTTTTTTCCATCAAAACATCTTTTTTTTTTCCCTTAGCAGCCAATGGTGATGGATTTTGCCAAAAGACTGTTACATTGACTATGTCTGGTTTATTCCTTCGATTGATATAACTTTAGTATATGTGTGCTAGGTAATAGGATTGTAATTTTTTTCTTCTATTACATATGTAACACTTTTATCAACAATATACCCTCAACTTTGCATCAAATAGCATGCAGCTAGGTTTCTATCTTTCCAATGGAAAGCTATACAAGCATAAAAGTTTCACTACCTTGGAAACTACAACAAATGGGGAATCTGTAAAAAAGAACTTTGTAACTTTATAATTTCATAGTAATGAATGAGATAGCATATTAAGAAGTCAGTAGTTTATAAATAATGTTAGGTACTCCAAATGATTCTGCACTGAAATAAGCAACCTGACTGAATTCCTATTTCTTTGCAAACAGTTTTGCTACAGCCAGTAGTCTTGCATATACTTCGTATTTTTTAATTTTGTTAAAAAATCATCCGAAAAAGCATTCTGAGATGAAAGTCCTGCAAGTAGAAAGATGATTCAGAATTACATGCCAAGAAGCCTTCTCAATATCCTGAGGGCATTGCCTATGTTGCTGCTTCAAGAACTCTACCAGTAGATTACACAGGAGTTGGAGACATGTAGTGATGTGACTCCACTTCTGAGGGAGTGACACGGGATATTATAGTAAGTTTAAGGGCCTTTTTCTCCCTCCAGTGCTCAGCAGGATGATGGTGTTGCAATGCCAGCAGTGACCACTATCTCCCATCAGCACCCATAAACCACATGCAACAGGCAACAATGTTGTTTCCAACATGACTTCATGGTTGTTTTACCCACTTCCATCTTCATTTGTTCTGCCAAGATCAGCTCAAGTGCCTCTTCCTAAAAGAATCAAGTTTGAAATATTTTAAAATTATTTATATGTATTTTAAAAGGAATCACTCACCACCATGTATCATATGGTCTGAAGATTTTCTATAGTTTTGATGACCAGCAGGTCCACTCTTCACACGAACTTCTTGTTGTCTCATACTGACAGAACCGAGGATCTTCTCGGGCACAAGTGCAGCACTTAAAACAGAGAAACTGGTCATCAGTTTCGGTTTTGTCTTCATTAGCTACTGCTTGGTGCAAAAATGTGCACAGCTAATACACCTTACTTTCTGTATGAAGTGATGAGAGGAATCTATTTCAAAGGCCATGGATTAATCAGGCTATTTAAGTATTAGGAATGCAGAGGTTTTGTGTTTTATCTTCATTACAGGTAAGTAACTCTATATTTTTATAGCATTACCCGGGTCCTGTCTTGAGGTTTGGTGAACCCTAACCTTCTAAAGCATATGGAAGTCCCCTAATCATTATTTCAATTCCTTCAGTTTAGCTCCCAGTCACAAAATATTTTCTTAAGAAAACTAACCAACTTATGTTGTTGGCCAGTTTATTCAATAAGTATATATGTATGTGTGTATATATATATTTATATATTATATATTTATATACATATTTTAAACATGATTCTTGCAAGAACTATGACATATCTTTATGTTACTCACTAATTTATTACTAAATAAATATATGTATTATATATCCTCTATGGACAATATGTGTCCCTGCCCATGGCTTACTTGGGAAAATATCATGGTAGTGAAGGCACAGGAAGATTAGGAAAGTAATTTCTAATAATGTTTCCTCCTTACCTCTTTGATTATAGGATATAGTGAAGAAAATTAGGCAAATGTTTTATGACTCCAAAATGACTACCAATGCTTCTGCAGGAAGTTACTGCCATAACTGCCATAAAATGCAATTTCTGGCATATATTTGGTTAAAATGTCTTTTTGTTCTAAAGAGATAAGGAAATATCTTTTTTTGCTGAGGCTTTTCATTTTCTGCTGAAAATGAGGTTTTGCTTTCAAGATCTTGCATTGTGATAAGAGTGATGCTAGGTGTTACTTCCACACCATTTACCTGTCACTTCCTTTTATCCAACTATTTAGCAATGATAAGTGAAAGAACATTTAGTTGATCAGACTTTCTACAGTACCATTTAATGAATCAGAAATTATTTACAGTCACCAAATAAAGTGAAAATTATGTGTACCTCAACTAATTAATTTTATTTACTGCAGACAGTAAATATTGCATATGATTATAACTGTAAAAATAGGTGAGTTTAAAGAGCAAATATATAAAGGTGAATTTAGTGAATCAGGCACACAGGGCTCGTAAACTTGCTATTTGAAGAGGACAAAGGGCAGAAGTGGTTTTGACTGCAAAGAATTCTTTTCTCCTTGCACATCTGTCTATCCAAGTTATTAAGGCATTATCATTTTGGCACCTACATACCAATTAATGACAAGACCTACAGAATGAGCTCCCAATTGCATTAAAGCTTGCTGCTAATGGTAGAATGAATTTATTTAGAAAAAATAAGCATAATGTTGTAAAGTATTCACTCCATAAAGTTCTTGCTTGTACCAATGACTGCACACAAGCATCACATTTTTAGACCCGTGGTTGGGGTATTAAATAAAACTTCTCTGCATGCAGATGCAGAGTTCAATCCCTGTCTTATATTTTTGAGCAAGCAGCAACCTCAAGTGGCAGCTGTGTGGGTAAATATATTTCTTCATGAAGAGGTTTTATCAGGAATCTGAAACATATTCAACATTAGACCTATTGTAGAATTGTCTTTATTAGCAGGATGGGTTTAACTGTGGCTTTCACAAAGTTTTGTGTGTTTAATCAGGTGGCAGAATGGAGGAAGGAGTGGGAGCTGAAAGTGGAAGAGTGCTTGAGGAAGAAAATCATGTGGAAGTATGGTGCAACTCTGAAGACCTAAAACTATTAATAAAAATTAAAAAAAAAAAAAAGAAGAAAATATAAAGGAGGAACAACACAGTAGTTAATTTTCCCTGCATGAGAGACACTGATATGCTTTTCACCTGACTCTTTATGCAACTCAAATTACTTGAGAAACTAGCAAACAATGAAATACTCAGCAGAGAGCATACATTGGTATGTTCGGCTTCAAGGAAGTGTCTCTGAGCTACAGCTATAGATTCATCAGGAAAAGAAACTGCATCTTTTAGAATGTCAGTTGCTCTTCCTTCTGCAGCTCTCTGGTTACCAGTTCAAATCTTATGAATCAGGCTCCATAATAACACCTTTGAAGCTGGGCGAACTATTCATAATACAATATGTCTACTTCTGAGCAAAATGCATTCATATAATTGAAACAATTGCACTAAATGATGACTTCATCATCATTTTCTATACACACAGAAATATAGGAAAATGAAATTATTTTTTTTCTATTGATGCTCATTTTTGTTTTGAAATGCATCAGTTATAATTTGTGTGGCAGTGATTTTGATTTTCCTGAGGGCAGGGTACAGTGATAGAAGCCATTTGGCCTCATTTTCATACAAGGACCAGCTATATTAGACTACTACATTACTCCTTGCTGGCCCTATTACCCCTTGCCCAGTTGGAATAAAACTCCAACAATAGAGTGGAGTGCCTGCAAAAGTTACTTAAGATAGAATGCAAAGACAGAAGGTCTCCTTATAGCCTTAATTCTCCCCAAAAGTCATAAATTTTGGTATTTTACAGCTGCTCCCATTTTTCTCCTCTTTTTTCCCCTTTTTCTGTGTCATTCTGCATCATCTACAAGACAGATAAACTCGCAAGGCATGGTTTTCATTAATTGTTTTCATTATTTTTTCTTTCTTATTCTGAATTGTAATCTCAGACAATGTGAACTGTCCCAAAACGGATTTCTTAATATTCACCTGACCAGGAAGTGAGTTTCCCTGTAAGAAGCCAGAAAGGGTCCAGTATGAAATGGCACTGATGAACTATCACACCAAGACAATTGTTTTTGATAGTAATGCATTGTTGTGGTGAAGCTGCCACCAGTTGGAGCCACTTTTAACTCTGGTGCTAAGAAAATTACAAAGGCAATATTATGGGAGCAATAGAAAAGAATAGGTGTGAAAGAAAAGACATGGAGAGGAAAAAAACCCCTACACTAACCAGCTAAGAGATTAAGTACCTTTACACTTTTCTCAGCCTCAGAGAAATAGGGGTGAGCTGACACTAAAGGTCTGCAAGAAGGTTGAAGTCCCTAACTTCTATAGGTTTCAATAGGAATAAAAGATGCCATCACCTAGGAAAACCATACCCTGCAAATCTAGTTATTCAATGTTTTAGTGCAATTTCAAACCAAAACACACTCCACCCCCAACTACTATTTTCTGGAAACTCATATGTTAAAATCACTGTGGTGTCTCTGAATTTTTCTCTGTAGTTAATGTATTGGCTCCATCTGACAGTGTTCTAGTTTTGGCTGGGGCAATTTTCTTCACAGTGAATGGTATGGGGCTATGTTTTGGATTTGTGCTGAACACAGTGTTGATAATATAGAGATGTTTTTGCTATTGCTGAGCAGGGCATACATGGAACCAAACCTCTTCTGCTTTTCATATGACCACAGTGGTGAGGAATTTGGGGGCACATGAGAGGTTGAGAGGAGACACATCCAGGTTGAGTGACCCAAACTGACCAAAGGGATATTCCACACCCTATGATGTCATACTCATTATAAATAGTAGGGTGAAGAAGGAGGAAGAAAGAGAACATTCGAAGTGATGGTGTTTGTCTTCCCAAATCACTATTGCGTGCTCTCCTGGAGATGACTGAGCACCTGCCCGCCCATGGGAAGCAGTGAATCAATTCTTTGTTTTGCTTTCCTTGTGTACATGGTTTTGCTTTCCCTATTAAACTGTCTTTATCTCAACCCTCAAGTTTTGTAGTTTGTACCCTTCTGATTCTCTCCCTGATCCTGCTGCTGTGGCGGTGATCAGGTGTCTGTGTGGTGTTTAGTTGCCAGCTGGGGTACAGCCATGATCCAGAGTATCATACATGCAATTTAACAGGCATTCAGTAAGGGGTTAGAGTTCATTTAAAAACTGTTCATTGACTGATTTTTCATGGATTACTATCTTGACATCAGAGAGACTGAAGGTTTTACTGTAACTTATAGGTACAATGGTGATCGTATAAGTGTGGAAGCAAAGATGTAGGCAATCACACATACAAGCTTGTTAGCAGATATATGTAGAGTATTTAAAAGCAATATAGAACACGTTTTGAGAGGTTTTTTCATTCTCATGTATATTAATACTCAGCCAGCAATATTTTTATGGAATTTGCACAAAGTGAAGATATTGTAACTCAATCATAATAAATGAATCTTCCCAATATATTGAACAAGTGTAAGCTTTCCTTACATTATCTTACATTAGTAACAATCCTAAGTAATTTTAATGCATGAAAATTGAGTTCCTTGACTGGAACAACTATCTATTTGGCAAACAGAGTAGCTAATAAATGCTTCATTGTCTTCCCAAACTGCTGTCCCATGGGTCACTCCTCCATGGGGTGCAGTCCTTCACAAATGAGCTGTGACCCCCACAGGGGCCACAAGTCCTACCCAGGAAAAACCTGCTCCAGCGTGGGCTTCCCTCTCCATGGGCTGCAGGTCTCCAAAAGGACCCTGCTTCATCCTGGGCTTCCCACGGGGTCACAGCCTCCTTCATGTATCCACCTACTCCAGCATGGGCTCCTCCAGGGGCTGCAGGTGGGTCTCTGCACCCCGATGGTCCTCCCTGGGCTGCAAGGGCACAGCTGCTCCACCATGGTCTGCACCACGGGCTGCAGGGGCCTCAGCTCTGGCACCTGGAGCACCTCGTGTCCCTCCTTCTGCACTGACCTTGGTGTGTCCCTTGTTGTTCCTATGTTCTCACTTCTCTCTTCCCTGGCTGGAATTTCTTCTACACGACAACCTTCTGTTCTTAAATATGTTATCACAGAGGTGTTACTATTACTCCTGATTGGCTTGGCCTTGGCCAGTGGCAGAAAGTCCATCCTGGAGCCGGCTGGCATTGGCTCCACAAGACAGGGGAAGCTTCTAGCAGCTTCTAAGGAAGCCACCCCTGCAGCCCCCCCCACCCCTACCAAAACCCAGCCACAGAAACCCAGTACATCATAGAAAGGGACCTCAAAGA